CGCAAAACGTTTGTAACTCAATTTAAGCAAATTTTACGGGAGCATGAAAAAACTTTTTAAAACTTTTATAATGAATAAAAATGTTTTATTTTAGGAAAATATTTACATTTTAGTTAAGGAATTAGAAACAAAATAAGAAAAAAGAAGAAAATTATTTTTGATAAAAAGATATTTGAATAAGTTCAAGTTACAACTGTTTTACAAATAAAATTTCCATAATTTGTTACATATTTTTGTGCAAAAGGGTAGTATCTCAAGTTACAATTGTTTTCCGCACAAATTTTGAGCAAATTTAATCATTTTCTATGTGCAAAACGTAAGTATCTCAAACTCATATCTTTTTTATAGGATTCAAAAATTGGATAAAATAAAACATTACTTCTTAATCACACAAAATATATGTTGCCATTATAAAATAAGATTATAATATGTGCAAGTCATGTTTAGAATGATGAAAATAATGAAAGTAAGAATAATCAGTAATAACTTATATAAGTTTGAACAGAATGAATGTCCTCAATAGAGAATAATATAGCCTATACCACTTTATTTCAAAATATATTGAGGGATAAGCTAAAATTATTTTTGATGGTAATAATAAATTTATGCTATTCTACAGAATGGTATAATGCTATCTTAGACACATGTACATGTATTTAAAAAAGTAAGGTTTAGCCACCCTTTCAGCTGCTGGGCATTTAATCTTTACCCCAATTGATATTATAAAATTATGGACTTCAATTTTAGCGAAATCATTCAAAACTTTTAGATTTCAAAATGTTTTAAAGGATAATTACGCTGGCTCTGATCTTTACTGGTTGCATGATAGAATATGTGATACAATTTGCAGGTTAAGAGTTTAAGCTGTAACATTTGAAAAATATTTGTTTGGAAATATGACAGAGACACCATAACAACTGTGAATACAAGGTCCTCATAATGTGTCTTGACTTAAAGCTACAGTCTCACTGACATCCCGGAGGAGCCCTGGTAGACGCCCGGGGTGATCCGGGGCTCTACCGGGAACAACCGGGTCACATCCGTAACTCTGCAGGCAACATTTGGGATGATCCGGGAACATCCGGCATTCGACATGTGTATTCTACCATATTCCATCATACTTTAAATTATTTCACTTAAACACTTAAACAATTTTTCGTGGAAACTTCTGTCATTACAACGTGACTTTTTTTCTTATAACAGCGTATGAAATTAAAAATTCATTCATAACGGCGAAATTACGTCATCCTAAGCATTCCATTGTACAGCACGCGACTCATCTGGCACGTCAATGCCAGCATTTACTTACCACATATATTTGTTTAAATGTTAAGGTTATTATTATTAGAAATGATAGACCGATATACTGTATCCGTTTAGTTTTATCATACTACGGTTGACGGTTGCGATTGATTGATCAATTGTTTGTGCTCACAACAGTAAGTAACTCGTGGTCACGACATAGTATCTTGTGGCCACGACATAAAATCTCGTGAGCACCACTTAAATATCTAGTGCGCACGACTAAGTAACTCGTGGCCACGAATAGTATCTCATTCGAAACACTTTATTATCTCGTGTGCATGACTTAGAAACTCGTGGCCACGAAATAGGATCTGGTGCCCACGAGATAAATAAAAAAATACACATGTTACCTCTGTGCCATCGTACCTTTCTGTTGAAAATGTGTCAGAGTTAAATCGTATACAATGCCATATACATCACGTACCGTAGGGAGCGTGTTACAGTATCGCGTTTTCCGGTTACAGTATAGAATTTTCAAGATGGAAGATTATTTATGGGTAAAGAGGTAGGTTATTTTTATTCAAATCCATACTACTACAATTAGTTTAGTGTCTATTAGATATCATTACCTTCACGGAAGAAGTGTACGTGAAATCCTTTACGAAGGCAGCTATTGATAAAAGATAAAGATAAAGCCATTGATAAAGCCTATTCAAACTACTAGTTTGTTTCTTTGTTTATTTAGTGTTTGATCTTATTTTTTGTCAAACAGGATTGCAGTATTGAATCGAAACACATTTACTTTAGTAAATCTGCTTTTACACTTCAGTTAGAAAATATCCTTTTGTGCACGTTATTTGCAATGGCGAATGCGTTAAGAGGCGCGACCTGTGCATTTATTAAATACACACGTGTGAAAACATCGAGATATTTTACGGTCGAGCAAAAATCTCAAAAAGATTGCGAATAAATTGGGAATTATTTTTATAAATAATTACTTTATATATATTCTTTATTTGAGTCTCATCCATACATAATATAAAACAATTCCATGACATAATTTTACAAAGTAAAAGTTATTTATGTACGGCCATTCTTATCAGAATTACAAGAGACTATAAAATTTTTAAACTAATGGAAGGGAGGCAACTCTGCAAGAATGTCCAATGTTACTTACAGAGTTACCTCTCTTCTCATTCCATACTCATATGCATGTTACAATTTCAAATTGCTAAAATAAGAAACTATTGCTAATCTTGTTCTAAAATACTTAAAATGTTTCTGGTAATTTTTTCTTTACAGTAAAAATCCTTAAAATGTTCTCTTCCTTAAACCCGTAAAATTACACTGAATAGCAATAGATTCTTAATTCTTGATTCTGAAAACAAATTTCTAATTACCTCCTTTTATTTACATGAAATATTAAATTCGGTAATATCTTTATAAATAATGTTTTTTGAAACTTACAATATTGATAAACCTTAATTTGAGCATCATATTGTTTATATCAAACCATAAAAATGTGTAACAGGATGTTTAAAGTGATAATCCCTACTGTGCTTGCTTTGGGCTCTGTCCTGTTTTTGTTTGGTGTCTTGCCGGCCTCCTTGTCGGTGATTCTGTGTTGCTGGGTCGTGTGGAGGCTGTGTTAATTGATAAACGCCCTTATTTGTTGATCTTAGTACTCATATTTCTTTAGGGTAGAGCTGATTATCAAAACCACAATATACTTAAGGACCTGACTATGAGATATTTTACACGGCGAGGGGTTCTTTCCAAATATGGTATTGATTATTGTGACTCTTTGATAATTGGAAGTATAAAACCTGTCTTTAATAAAATACTACAAATACGTTTAAAGCCAAAAAAGTAATTTTAAATGATGATTATCAAGTGTTAAAGATTCACTTATAATAAAAATGATGTTGTATTTACAAATGAATATTCTGGGATGACCGAAGTTTTTGAAATCGCTGTTTTTGTTCGAATATCTCCATAAAACAATAATTCGTTGGCAGTTTTCTGTTATGTTTTTCATTTTTTTTCTAAGAGATACGAACGTTGAATGTTTCATAGAAATAATATGATAAAAAAGATCAACAAGGAAAGGCGGCATTCAATGAACGCAACGCCCACATGACCAAATAACAAGAACCAGCGGCAAGGAGCCCAGGAGGACCCAAACGAAAACAGGACAGGGCGCAAGGGAGAGCACGGACACGCTTATCACTAAAATGTTACATGAGAAATAATAGTAACCGACAAGGAAATCAAAATAATAGTTACCGACAAGGAAATCAAAACATAAGAAAATAAATAAATAATTGATTAATAGGTCAACTTACTAGAAGGGGGATAGGAAATTCGGACAGGGGATGGCGAAACAAAGAAACAAAACTAGGGGCAAAAAGGAAGATACTTACCGTAGACGAGAAATCAACAAGGGACACCAACAAAAGAAAAGTGTCACCAAAACTGTATGAAACAACAAGACATACATCTGAGGAACACGGAGGGGCGCCGCCTTAGCACGGTCAGCAGCACAAGTACTACTTGGGAGTTTAAACCGGTTAATGGTGCATCAAACCTCACTCTTAGCCCCCAAAAATGGACGTAAAAAAGAGACAGCGTAAATAAAGTGAAAACCTTTTGAATTAAAATGGATATTATATTTAATATATCTTGATTTACCTTTTATAAACTATTGATATCTGGTTTAATTAACTGTCAGAAAGAGCATTATTTTTATTGTACAGGTTGTCACGTAAAAGAATTCAAATTTTATATTCTTCTCTTCTATATTTTGTTTCTCTTTTGTGTTATGAACATTGAAATAAAATTCCCTAGCTTATAGACCATGAGTAAATTTATTCTTGTCTTTGGGGACTGTGTCCTGCGAACGTTGCCTTTTACTTGTTGATCTTTATTTTAGTGTAATCAGCCTGACATGGTAATATTATGTATATAGGGCCTTTTAAAGTGACATTGTGCTGTTTTTTGTTCATTTCAAGTTGAACTGAATTGATTATATATTTCATAAGATTGACTAGTATAATGGTGATTGACCAATATGGGTTATCAATATATCATGCAAAGTGAATTATAATATTGGAAAAAATCAAGGCAAAATGTGAACTTATTTTGACTTTCATCCGTTTACTCAGTATATACCCTTAGATGGGCATAATACCACTTTAATTGATAAATGAAAAATACATTACATTTTCTTTTCAATATTTATATAACAATGACATTGGGATATTAATATCATAAAATAAAATATTTTTCAATACGTGGCTTGTCATGGAATGATACAGAGGAGTCACACTGAAGATTCCATGATAACCGCTATATAAACACACATGTGGATGTTCGGTGATTAATAAGTTTATATATTTGTTTCAATAATTTTTTTATTACATTAGGTTCAAGTGGGCGCTTTTACCACTGACTCCTTTTAACAGCCCTGATCAAACCGATCCTGGAACATTTTCTCTTTTGCCGTTGATGGCGTTCTTTAGGATTTCTTTATATTCCTACAATGTAGCATGAATACGTGACATTTTGGAGCAAATTTTGCGAATTTATTAACGATTTTAAACTTTAACAAAAAGTATATTTGTTGCCTTTATCGTTACACAACCAAATTCGGCGAGATAAAGTACATGTTGTGTACCTACAGTTTTCAACCTTTTATATCACTGATAACAATATTTCGTTTTTCCCATTAATCTTTGCTCAGATAAGAATTTTTTCATAATATATTTTGTACTACTCACCAACTGAAGTATTCCGATAAGGGCATGATTTTAATGATTTCATGAAAATACCGACATAAAATTATATGATTTGGATATTTCGGAAAGGATATTCAAATACAGGTATTCTTTTGTTTATTTATATATATATTTCAATGACTCAAGTGAGGTCAAATTAAGCCACACAGTAGAATGAAACTGTAAATATATAATTTATGTTAACTTTGTATGCCTTTCGACTGTATTAACCGAATCATTTTCAGCCAAACAAATGGGTGTCACCGGTCACGTATAAAGAAAATAATGTATGTAATTGTTTTACAACTCTGGGTCCCGTCATTCAGGTTTTTGTTCCTTAATGAAAATCTGTTAATACAAAGTTTAACAAGATTAATGTGTCTAGAAAACTAAAAAAATACTTTGGGAAACGAAGACCTGCAAAAGACAACGCGTCATCGCACAATGCGTATGTAGTGCAAGTCATTCAGATGCAGAAAACAATCGTGCTCATACAGTCTTTTTATTCACCTGACCTTGCCCTTTTGACTTCTTTTTCTTCCAAATCTAAGACAATACCTTTCAGATCGAAAATTCGAAAATTTGTCCAGCGGAATACCTTGAGTCTGCAATATTCTAGTGTTTTTATAGTATACCTAAAAAAGAGAGATAAACAGAATTCCTAAAGAAAGCACAACACGGCAAAATTTAAAATGTTGCAGGCTCGGTTTGATTGAGCCTATTCATGGACGGAACTGGAAAGTGCAAATTACCGTCCACACACCCTAGCACCACTAAAACATTTAGAGTAATAAAGAATCCCTAAAAAGACTATAAAAATGTCTTCAAAGATTGGATCCATAGACTGAAACTATTTATAAATGAAAAGGGTGAATACTTTGAGGGAACAAAATAAAACATTCAGTGCAACCTTTAAGATTCGAATTGTATGTGCTAAGATACATTAATTTTTAACAATCCTCGTATGTCGTATATATTTTTCCCTTAGACTGATAATCTTTAAAGGCTAGATTTTAAATCAATGTCATTTTGTTTAAATCATACAGAAATGTTTACATAAGGAAAGCAGAGTACTCATACTGTAAGATAAGATATTGATTATTGTTCATTTGCAGGTGCATATCTTAAATTATATGAGGAGGGTTATTCAAAGGTTCTGATAATACAAATACAACAACATAATATTTATATTATTGTTTTAACGCTAATTATTTAAAGTAGTTCATGTAACAACAAATGCATTTCAATTCTTAAGCCGTTCTCACCACTTCCTAAAATCTCGGGGTTGTCCCCCTTTGATATGTACAAAAGACACTTTTACAATGCACTTCAAATTGCTGTACCTGCGATGCAAGCAAATTGAGTTTTCACTCAGGGAACAGAAAACGTCACAAGGACTTAGACAAGGCTGGGGTGACTTATGATTGTCTCAAGGATCGAGAGTGACTTAGTTTTGCCAAACTTTCGATCTTAGATATAAATCCGCTAGCATTTAATAAGTAAAAAGGCATATCAAATTTTAATCTTTGTGTTTTATTATACATCAATAGGCAGACATTGAATAGTTTTCGTAAGTGTAATAAAAGTAACGGACTGGCACAACAAATTTAGGGTTTCTACACAATCTTAAATTTAACTTATTCAGACGCCCACGGATAAAATAAAAAAGGAGGCACAAAGAATCAAAAACAGTCCAATTTAAACGTAGATGCATTTACATTAACTTGCAGTTGTTGCAACAGCGAGGAAGTTAATATGTTTGTTCTTACTTTGCAAGTAATGATTATAATGATTATACATTTCCTTGTTTAAGTTCAATAAACGCATTTGCTTGCCTTAGATAAAAACATGGCAATAAAATGTCCAAGCTGCAAATGAATTTTTCATAATTTCACTATCAACCAAACTCAATATAGGTGTAAATGAATATACCGTGATATAAAACCAATTATCCATCAGTTCTTCATTTTGCAAGTTTATGTATGTCTCTGACCCAATGTTATAAGGAAGAAAGTAGTGCCAGAGAAAAAACATATGTTATCTATTTATTGTATACATTATAATCAGACTCACTCTATTATCGTTTAACCAGATATCATAATGGATTTCCGGAACGTTTTGGTTTTATTCCTGATATATATAGGATCCTCTGCAAATATTCTCTGACTGATGTAATGTACAATTACTTACAATCGAGTTTATTTCCGAGTAAATGGCAGTGGAAAGATATTCTCGTCAAAGCAGTGCTTAAGTCGGAAAACCAATATCAAATAGATTGTATTGTTTCAGCTGGACATTTGTGGGTTTGTAATAACCTTATTCGTGTTAGCCAGTGTTCGAGCCTATGGTTCGTAAGCAGGAACACTCCTTCCCTATCACATATCTGCAGGAAACTCTCAAGAAACATCGCTTTATTGGTTTCACGACAATATGAGCGTCAGTGCACAAAATGTAAACTTAAAACAGAAAATATTATCCTACACCAGATCTGTTTCTGTATCAGAAATACCCGAGAACGTGAGAATTTGTGGAACATGCTTATAGACTGTCTGGGATTTACTTGGTTCCGTGAGTTAATAACAGATTGTCCTCTTGAACAATGTAAAACTATAATGGGGCTCGCCGGGAAAAATGACGAACGCATTTTCATAAATTTCTCATTAACTAAATCACTATTACGTTTATTAGATTAAATGATGTATTGACATGAATTGTGATACATTTTCGAACGTTATATGTTGTGTATATTGTAATTTGTATTTGTACCAATGAGAAATGTTTTCTGATACGTATGTCTTATCTGTAATTATGTAAGAAATAAACCATGATATATTTAATCCTCGAGTGCTAGGAAACTAAAATATAAATACTTCTATGAATAAGTAGAATATCTCATGAATTATTTATTAAAGTTTTACACTATTCAAAACTGTATAAAATCGGGTTTTCCTTTCATAATCTTTCATCATTTTTGTATAAATGAAGAAAATACTAAAATAATTAACTACAGCTTTATATTAACTATATCTTCTGTTAAGAAGAAGATATGACTTTTATTTAGCACTTTTTGCCAATTCCCCTTCATTATTTTTAAGAAATCAATAAAAGGTGTTTCCCACTTTAAAAAGCTTTAGTTTCGATTTCGTTGAAGCTATATAAAGGAGAAATGCTTACAATCATATTAAGGATACACTTGTAGTTGCCATGTTTTCTTGTTAGATAATAGATCAATGAATTAAACACAGGTGTGAATTACTTTTGCCATAGAATAAGAGATTTAATATAGATCCCACAATATATATGATTTTTGTTTTTGTTATGATATATTTTTGTAATGTTATCGCATAATATTTAAATGGTATTATACATGTATTGTTACTGTAAATATTGTATCTGTAAATACTGTTATGCTCTTCATCTTTGGAGGAAATAAAAGTATCTATCTATCTATCATTTGCTTTGATCGACATGAGAAACTACTTTGTATTAAGATTTTGCAAGTTCTTTGTGCTTGTTGCACAAATAGCATCTGTCTGCACTAAAACAGACTTTAACCTGGATTTTAACATAAACCATTACAAAACATCACTTGATCTCCAAACATTTAGCACATTTCAGGCAAATGTTCGTTTAGTTATTTTTTTCAAGTGACATTATTTTCATCTAAGTATAAATGGTGAGTTTACTGGAACGTGGAAAAGCACACATTTACTTTAAATTATGTCAGAATTGTTTTCAATTCAGTAATTTGTCCCGCATAGACAATCAATAACAAACATGATCCATGGTTATTTCTATAACACTTGTGTCGCACTATTTGACCTAGAGTCATGAAACTTAAGAGGAATGTTGCTCAGCATATGTAGATGTGCATCTTGGGTGTTTCGCTTGTGGATTTATCCAGTATTTGTAGAGTGAGTTATTGCCCTTGACTTAGTAAACCCCGTTTCATTATGTTGTGTTATTTGTTCATTGAGTGCTTGAGTTAGAATCAACCAACTTTACAGGAATAATGATCAACTCCACTGTGAAGCTATGAACCTGGGACTTTGCATGTGGATTGTTTTCAGTTTTGTTAGTGTTATTGCCCTTGACTTACAGTAGTATAAATTTGCAATTTTCAACTTGTTCATGCATAGCTCAAAAAGTTTTTGAAGGCCTGAAAGTTTACAAGAATGATGGTCAGCATGTGTACTTATGCACCTTGGGGTTAGCTTGTGGATTTATTCAGTATTTGTAAAGTTATTGCCCTTTACTTAGTCAAGAAATTTTAGTTTTCAAATTATGACACATGTCGTACAAACAATATTTGACATAGAGTCATAAAATTGACAGAACAGTGGCGTGTGGGGGCACCCGTATCCTATGGACACATTTTTTGTTCTTTATTTGTATGCAACAATTTAACAAAAACTTGTAACTCGAAGTGGTACAGAATTTTTATGAAGTTTTATGGATACGACGCAGTTCATCTTTCTTTATCCATTATCTTTTTCTATTTTAATCCTTCAAATCAATTATATACTCGTTACAGAGATTACCATTAACTTCAAAATATGACATTGTGTCATTTTCTAAAATTTTGTTTATGTTGCCAGAAAATAAAGACTTGCACGAAATGATACGACACAGTTAAAAACAAACTATTATACGATGCAGTTGTATTTTCTTATTATCTTTTCAACATGGATTGCTTTGGCTATATGAGTCTTTTTTACCAATTTTACCGAATGATGACTTGCGCTTGAAAAGAAACCCGGAGCTTTCACAGTTTAAAGGTATGCTATATTGCTTTGGAATATTTTGAATACGCTGTAGCTTCGGCAATGTAACTTTTCCAAATAAATCTTATATTTGAAATGAAAACAGTATTCAAAATATATAAAAGCAATATAACATTGCTATAAACTGTGAATGGTACCAACTCTCTCTCTATATATTTGCCATACAAACAGATGAAATTTATTTCAAATTATTTTACACAAACGTATTTCTTTACAGGATATGAATATTTCGAACGTCTGTCAATCCATGTCACTACTATTGTCCCATGTACTTGGCAATATAGGTGTAAATGAATATACCGTGAAGAAGCGGCGACAGTTATATCACGAGATAGAAGAAATAAAAAAGATAGGCTATACTTTAATGCATAAGGCATCTGTCGGAACTAATTGTAACAACGATAAGGTGTATTATTTTGGAAGTGCAACGGAAGGTTCTACTACATTAGGCTTAAAATCTGATATCGATCTGGTATACATATCCCCGCATTGGTATACTTTAATATTTTCAAAGCTGCAATCAGAAAGAGGATATATTTATCATTGTCTTCACCTTGAGATAGTTGTTTCAGCCTCACCTGGACATTGTAGACTATTAGTAGTGGAGGCTTTCCCATTTTTTCATGATAAGTACAAAAACCATGGTAATTATGACTTACTATCCCACGAGGATATGGATAAATACCAGCCATATATACGTGATACCAGCGGAATTATACCAATAATTAAAAATGGACCATCCTCGTTTCATTCGAATACTGATAATGTTCAAGCTATCTTAGTACCTTTGAAACTGTCATGGAGAAATGAAATTTTTCAACGTTTCCATAGTTACAGTTGGCCTACCGAAAGAATCGTACATAAACTTCAGAAGACAAACAATTTGCTTGTTCCAGTGTGCCATCCGATGAGTGATGAAGGGAAATTTGAGTGGAGGATTTCATATTCATTTGCAGAAAAATTATTGATCTACAGTTTCAATATCACCCAGCTAAGATGTCTGGTTGTTTTGAAAATGATAAAGAAAACATTCTTTGAACCTATTGTTCAGGACGAGTTTACTAGTTACCACTGCAAAACTATTCTGTTCTTCACTATAGCAAAAACCACACCATCACTATGGAAAGAAGATCGTTTAAGTGACTGCATTTTATGCTGTTTATCTACTTTAAAACATTTTCTTTTAAACAATTATTGTCCTCATTTCTTCGATCATAACGTGAATTTATTTTTGGGAAAAATAACCCCGATAAGCTGTAAGAGTTTGGTAATCTTGGTCGAAAGACTAATAATTAAACCTTTTGGTTGTTTACTCGAAGTTTGCATTGATGATTTGGGAGCTAGAATTATTAACGTACCAACGGCGTTAGCCCATAGATTTTTTCCTGCCAGAAGTGTTATTGAAAACCGAATCATTGTTGCAATTGAGGCCGAAAAACATCAGTTCTTAATAGAATTTTCGCGACACCCATATGTATTGATGAACGAATCCAAACATACGTTAAAGAAACAGATTTACACTGGTTTTATATTAATCAAAGGTTTATTATCTTTTATGAACGATGGTAATACAACAGAATATTATGTAGCCAAGTTATTCTTGCCACATTTTGTTGCCAAACACGCTTCGCTTCTATCCTCTTACAGAATCAAAAAGAAGCAACCCTTATCAGAAGACCTCATTAATCTGTTCAAAATAAGCTTTCTGACAGACGCTACTTCAAACAGACTAAAACTTGCTTCAGTGTTTTGTTGTAATGGTGATCACAATAAAGCACGACTGATTTTAGAAGAATTATCTGACAAATATTCTGCAATGTCAATGACTATCAACACATGTTTTCAATACATTCAGCCATATTTAATTTCTTGGGATATAATTTTTGAAACAGAATCAGACGTATTTCCATTCACCGGATGTGAAATACCACTACGTTTATTTTCAGACTGTGTCGAATTTATGATCAAAGATATATCGTGTTGTCCAAAAGGATTTAGAACAGCTGTATTATACAATGGTAAAGAGCACGTAAAGAATTTTCAGGATATAAATAAATTTTCAAGCTTTTTTGGGCTTGAAGTCGACTCAAAAGCTATGCTGCACTATCTACAATTTGTTACATATGCTGGGATGTCGTTAGATGAGTTTAAAGGAAATGCATTGAAAGATTTATTAGAAACTGTTATTCATAACCCATGCAAATGGATAAAACACTTTTTTAAGGCCGGAAATAGTACTGAAAAAGAAATAGTTTGCAAATACAGAGACTTATATTTCCATGATGATTTACAGTATCGCAACTTTGTCACTCCAAAACTGTTTAATAATTTACGCAAAAATTGTTGGGGAAGTGTTCAATTCTGTATATATTACGCTTTTGGGAAAACCTCAACCCTTCAACATACTGATTTAGCGTTGATGCTGATAGGATACTGTTTTGAACAGGAAAACAACATAGACTTTGCCGTCGCGTTTTATTGGATGTCATTCATTATTGGAGAACGTAAGGCAGCTGCAAAACACATTGAAAGAGTACGACCACATGCACGTATTGTTAGCTTCTTTGATGATTATTTCAATTTTTCCGGTTCCATGATGTATTCCATTCAACTTGAAATCGCTTTGATACCGGAACTAGTGGAATCATTTGCTAATGTTATGAAGGCATATATCAGCGCAGGGAATTTAAAGGAGGAGGACTTTCTTGAAGGCACATATAGGGTCAGGTGTCACGTTATTCTACTTAATGCATTGGTAAAAAATTATGACAGACAGACACAAAAACCTCTGGACATTTTCAGCGGATATCGGTCAATTATGCAGGACAAGAAAAGCAGTCTTCTCGTGTGAACAACTGTGCATTTGTAAGAAAATAAAAGCAACAGGGATATAAAGATTAGTGTAGAGGATATTAAAATCATTGTTTGATATAACTTTAACAGAAAATTGACACGGATATCGATGAGCACCAGCCAAGTATATGGCGCTCCTACTTGCAATCGACAATTTCTCAAGTTGGCTTGAAAATCAAATGATGTAACACATTCATAAGTACAGGACAAATTTTCTCAACTTGTGTGTAATTGCCTAGGAGTTCATTACCACTTGAGAACGACGGCGAAGCATTTTTTATACTCTGAACTGTGTAATATAAAATATTACGAACTTAATACAAATTACTGCAATACATACAAATGCAGTAATTGTCGACTGGTTATGTTCTACTTGAATTACATGTCATCGTTTGATAAGCTTAAACCTTTGTGTGATTTATATTAAAACACAATCTACTGACTACTGTTATTGCTTGTAATGTTTCTTGTATTTGTTAATCATCAGATAAAAATGCAATTGAAAAAATATAGCATCAATTGTTTATTTTTCTTTTGTCAAATATCAATTATTCATATTTTCTTTTATTATTTTGTGTACAACAGTCCGTCCGTTATGCAATCGGTAGTCAACCTTTCACGATGCACATTTATTTGTAAAATCTCATTGACATAAACCAAAATGAAATTACTAGCGGCAGACTTTAAACTGTGTCAAATACAACGGGTGCACGGAAGGGCACCTGAGGTCTTCTTCCACCAGTAAAGCTGGAACGTCGCGATATGACCTATACTGTGTCGATGTGACGTAAAACCCAAAACAAAAAAAATACAACGGGAAACACGCATGAGAGCATCCTAGAACTTAAATGCTTTTCTGGTCAGGATGTCCCCTTCGAACCAACCAAACTGGCCGGATGAATTCCAAAATCGGGACAAAGGGCGTGAATAATAATCTATTTTATTCGGTTTGAACGGTTTGACCTATTTTACAGATTGTTGTTGTTTTTCTTTTACACAATGGGAAACAGTAACGCTTAATTTAAAATGTCATTTTTGTGCAAAAACGTGATCTGCACCGTCAGGGTAATCGAACAAATAGAAGCAGCATTACATCAGTCAGCATAAGAATTCTGTTTTGTAATATATTTGACTTAAACATATGTTTTAGCTGAAGCTTATTCTAGCAAGGTCAGTCACATTTTAGCCCAAGGACGAAAGACAAACCGAGTTAAAAAAAGTAATTTCTAGCAAACGTTTCTTGTACGTCCCCCACACAATCTACAAGCCTGACAAAACTTTATATACATTATATAGTTTTAAGGAATGGTACTAATTCGTACATTAACTGAGTTGTATGTAAACTATTAAAAAGCCTAAATTCAAAAAAGACTGATGAAATCCCGTATAATAATACAGTAATATAACATAATAATACCTCATTATAATGCACGTAAATAAAGCTTAACTGGCGGAGGAAAAACCTTTAATGATTCTTTTAATATATTTACATGAGTAAAGAACTCCAGATTAGCAATAGCTTGGAAAGGGAAAAAACAAAATTAAAGTTAATATATGATTGTCTTGTTTATGTTCTTCTGGGCTAGAAAGTTATATTTATATCTCACGTAAAAAGTATACAAAGTTATATCTAATGAAACAACCGTAAATATTTAAAAACAGTAAAAAAAGTTCAAGTGATTTTATACGCTAATACGCTACTGCTAACCGGACAGTCCGCTGCTCATTGCCTACTGCTAACTGCTAAATGAAGTCTAAGTCCATGCATGGATCAGTATTCCGAATGTACACACCCGCCATTTTGTTGAAAAATCTGCTGAGGTAAATATTACGGAAAACAATGGTAAGTAAATTCAAAAGGATTATTTTATAATTAAGACTTATAATTTGTAATTTCGAATTCATTGCAATGACTTGTGTACGTCCCACACTTGAACACTGCTTTGATTATGTTATGAAATGGTTCCACGTGCCTCACTGCACAGGTTATTTGTCTTAAAAGACTCATTTTATGGTAATCAACTTATTGATAAATTATTCACAATATGTGTTCAACATTGTCGGCCTTGAGACCACTATACCTTGGTTGAGAGGCGGGCATCTGGACCATTATATCAACACTCCCTTATTTTTGTATTGAATTTCATAGTTTATCAAACTTTCATTTGACAATATAATACATTTCTTGAAGAATATCTAATGTACGGGTGAAATCACTGGCGATTTTTAGGCTTCTCATAATAAAAAAAATGTATGAGTTCACTTACGAGATCATTTTGGTTCAGCTTTCATTGGCTGTTAGTAGCAACATATAAATGTGTAATTCCTAATTTGATGTTATAAAGTACATTTTGTTAAGTTATTTGTACACTTGATATCTTATGTTGCAGAGATATGTGATTTAAATGTGATTATAGATTTTTTTATTCTAGTGCAGAGCACGATAAATCTGACAGAAACATTTCTAGTAGGACCAGCGTATATAATACATACACCCTACTGCAAATTTGACTTCACAGACAAGTAACAGAACCAACATATCTGTGTGAAAATATTGAATTACAATGAAAGATGATTTCAATATTTTACAGAGGACTACATAAATGTATTGGTTCTTATAGACGAGTTTAACTCGGCTTCTGAAAGTATAAGCAAAGACAAACCGGGCTGTATTCAAATTGTTTCAAAAAAGTTCAATATTTCATTATGAACATAAAGAGTGCAAACATGAAGTGATAAATTATAGTTTGAATCAGCTTATCTTACTTTATGAAAAGCCATCGTTATCCTCTTGTTGAAGTTCAATTATACTTTTGAAAAATTATAGATTTTTTATTTAAATTTACTTGAATATAAACCTTTGTGATAGACATAATGATCATGTAAATGTTACATATCAATATTAATGTTAAATTTTATAGATTGATTTGTTTGTTTTAAAACTCTTTTTTTTATAATTTCTATAATTATTTTTTCTGCTTTGTTTTCCTAACAAACACACTTAAAAGTGAACTTTTTTATGTGTTGTTTTTTCTATTTGTTTTTACAAATACCTCAAATGAAAACAGTGAGCTAATCTGCTTTCGTATTTGCCAGAATCGTTTAATGATTGATATTACTATTTTTGTCAGGTTTTTAGAGGTTTGACAACTTAAGTAAAGAGTTCTAAGACATCTGATGGTGTAGAGCTTCTATGGTATATGATATGAAGCATTTATAAGTTACCTTTCTTATTTCATGTATCACTTTATCTTGCAGAATATATTTACATAAATATAATATCATAACAATAATATTATTCATAACAGAACTTTAGATTATAATTCTGTTTTTATATTAATTGCTGTCTCCGAAACTTTGCAAATATATTTATAGATACAGAATTTTAACAGGCGTCTCATATTTTTTTTATTTTAAATTATGGTGTATACAAGAAAATATTAGCTTACATGTCTCATTATTGAATCACACTTTAATGTGGTGCTATAATCAATTTTGTTTTTCGTTTAAATTGTAAATAAAAAAAGTTCTTTAAAAATAAAAATCATATTGTTTGTGATTTTGTTTATATTTAGCTCCTTAGAAAACATAACAAAAAAGACAACAAAATGATAAGTCTACATTACTGTTTAATTCAAATTAAACAAATATGATGGTAATATATATGTTAACCATAAAGCAAAGATTGTTTGTTGAATGTTGTAACATGGCCATGTTGGTAACAATATTCAACATTGTCCACATTTAAAAAGTGTCTTAATCCATCAATTTTAAATTCATGAAAATTATGTATTAGGAAAATGAAAATAATGAAATATTATTATCAGTTAGAAATCTTTTAAATACATCTGAAACTCCAATGCATGTATCTGGCAAGTGAACCGAATATATTTCTTCAAAACAACTTTACAATTTTACCTGGACACTCTTCTCTTAAGCAATGAAATTAAAAGACGGACGTCCAGCAATAAATTGGTAAGACTTTTAGTCTGTTATGTTTTCTTATTCTGTGGTTTCACCAGTTATAAATCAGAATGTAACATAAGTAAAACTGCAAAAAGTAAGACATAATATGCGGAGGGCATGGCATGGACTCAAATTTAGGATACCACTCAATCATATCTTTAAACAGATACTAACATTACTTTGTATAAGTAATGCCCACGTAACTCAAAGATCTCTCAATGATTTTATTATGCATCGACTTCCCAATTATACAACAAATGTACATGTTAGTCATCATGCTCCTGTCGAAGAAGTTTTTTAACATCTAATTTACATGTAGTAACATTTCCCGGCTTTGGAGAATTAAGGTATTAATGTACGGTCTACCATCTCGAGAACAAGTATTAACTTTTGGGAAACGGACAAAGCCCTCCCGGAAAAAAAGCCCCCCCCCCCGTCCAAAAATGACAAGGCGGACAAAAGCCTTTCCGTGAAAATGACAGAGCGCCGTGAAATTGACAGAGCGGGCAAAAGCCTTCACGTCCAAATATGACAAGGCGGACAAAAGGCCTCCCGTTAAAATACAGTGGAGCCTTGCTAATCCGAACCCTTCTAATCCGGAATCCTTTCTTATCCGAACGAAGTGTCCGGTCCCGATTTTATTCGTTCTATTTTCAATATTAAAAAGCTTTCGGATCCGGAACCTGTCTACTCCGAACTCCGGACGATTTTTTTCGATTTTTGTTCTTATTTTACTCTAAAATTTACCTCTCGGATCCGAACAGATTTTGCCAAATGTCACACCTTCATTCAAAATAACAAATAATCGCACATCTTGCAGGTGTAAACATACACCAAACTGATGTGTTATTTCACTTGATTAATGGGTGAAACGTATGATCTGCGAAGGTGTGAAAATTACACTTAGCTTGCCTTCATATCTTCTATAATTGCTTAATTGATTGTTTTTCGTCACCTTCAATAAATATTTTGATATAATGCAATAAAAATATCTTTTAATCCTTTGTAATGGATTCAATGATACGTGATTAAGCAATGAAAATTAATAAAAAATGTCAGTGAATTCGGATAGTCGATGAATCGGATAAGAGTAAACAACAATTGACAAATGCTGGTACGAATATTTAATTATGTCTCCGCCTCCTGTTTTACATCGTAGGTAAACTTACCCTTGAGGACATAATATTTTTTTGCTTATTTATTTATTTTCATTCTTTTATTTTTGTATTCACATGTATTAGAATGAACGATAAGAGACTGCAAAAATAAAATATCCAAATTGCAATTTCAAATGCATTCCCGTTTTCTTTCCCTAAACTATTTTGCAAATACATGTAACATGAAAAAAACATGTAAAAGAACCTTCTAATTCGGAAACCTTTCTAATCCGGAAACCTTTCTAATCCGAACTTTTCTTCTGGTCCGGACGAGTTCGGATTAGACAGGTTCTACTGTAACTGGGCGGATGAATACCCTCCCGTGAATATGACAGCGAACAAAAGTCCTCCCGTGAAAATGACAGAGTGGACAAAAGCCCTCCCGTGAAAATAATTGGGTGGACAAAAGACCTCCAGTGAAATAAACTAGGCGGGCAAGTTTTTCCGTAACAGAAAAAAACCTGCACTCAACATTGTAACAATATATGTGTGTGTTGTTTTTTTTGTTTTTTTTTTCAATTGGCCTAAGTAGGTGTATGAGCTAGAACCAAATATATCTTTCTAAAATGTTTAACGAGGTAACTTTTCACACAAATATCCTTAATTTAAAAGTATTTTACTCATTACAATGCACATTATGAATGTCTTGGAC